CATCTACCACCACATTGTGTCCCATTCATTAGGACGACCTCCCCCTCCCCCCAAGATTTTTAAGTATATCAGAAGGAACAGAAGACTCCTGTGTATGAAAACCTACCCCAGTTAATTAAGGTCCTTCCCATAAACAGCTTTGTTTCTGGATTCCAGACAAAACGACGGAAATTTTCCATCCGCTCGCTGCAGGTCTTTTTTTCATTTAAAGTTGCCATTTTCTCACAAAATTTCCCCAAAACACGTCCTCCTCAGAAACTAAGAAATTCAACCAGTGCCCAAACAGTCGCCCAAGAAAAAACACTTGGTTTTTATACCTTCTTCTCCGCTGAAGGTCAACGAGATTACTTCTGATACCAATGAAAGCCCCTGCTCACCATTATCAACCTGCAGCAGATACAATTCTTCATGAAGGGTGTTGATAATGCTCGGTGCTGAGGCTGGCAAGGAAAAGTGAGTTCCTATCAAATGCCCTTCTCCTTTCTCTTGATCAACTCAGCAGATCAGCAGAGTTACGCATTTTGCGGAGTGCCCATAGGGCTTGCGATAGACTCGACGCGATAGCTCTTATCAGAGCAGATAAAGCAAAGGAGAACTTGTTTCTCTCTAGGTTTTTTTTTCTTTTCTTTTTTTTTGTTCCAATTAATCTGCAAATAGTGGATATAATTCTCCCACTACAACCTGTAGCCATCTGTTGGGATATAGGAGATCGCAGAGGGAGTGAGTGGGGGAAAAGCACTGTTTCCCAGAGTGTTTGCCATGTTGTGCAGCCAGGGAAATTAAGATCATGTTTTTTCTGTTTTCTATGGGGAATGTTTTTAGGTGATCTCTGACGAAGCTAACTCAGCTTCGGAGAGTATCCCCGCCTTGCTTGCTGACTATCCCTGCCTCCCTCTCAGCACGCCACCAGAAAAGCCAGAAGAAAGATGGAGGAGAGAAAAAGAAAAAATAAAATAAAAATATAATAATAAAATAAATAATAAATATAATTTATAATATAATGATATAATAATATAATAAAAGTTTTGCCATACAGGTAAATGATGAGGCAGAGTGGAGAATATACATAGGTGTCATTTAACTCCCTTTTCTGTCTGCTTTACAGCCAAAGGCTCTGGTACGTTCAGCAGCAGACCCCCACCCCTGGGCTCGCTCTGCGCACAGAGGAGCAGGCCTGCAGAGTGCCCCCAGCAGCTCCCCGCGGACGGAAAAGCAAAGGGCACGTGGCAAATGGCAGAGCCGATGGGCCCCCACTGCAAGGGGAGCCTGGGTTTGAGGAAGCCCCTCCAGGCATGCTGGTGCGCTTGCTGCTTGTTGAAGTGGTTTGCTAATGCTCTTATTCTGTTATGGGACCCTGGTAATGTCAAACCCCCAAACTGCCCTGTGAATTCAGCAGTTTTTTTTTCAGGACCAGGGTTTCATCCCTTTTAACTAGGTATGTTGGTGTGCCCTCCCCTTCACTCATTTCACAGGACGTGGGGGGGGGGGGCAAAATCTTTAAAATGGGCACATATGAGAAGGTTGACTGAGAGACTTTGGATTATTTGGACATTGAGACAGCTGTAACTGAGCCTGTCAGCTGCAGTAATATGGCAGGGTTATTCTGTCCTGGTGGACACCAAGCTGAACATGAGCCAGCAACGGGCCCTTGAGGCAAAGAAGGCAGCCAATGGTATCCTGGGCTGCATTAAGAGAAGTATTGCCAGCAGGTCGAGCGAGGTGAGCCTTCCCCTCTACTCAGCACTGGTGAGGCCACACCTGGAGTGCTGGGTCCAATATTGGGCTCCCCAGTACAAGAGAGACAGGGACATAGCGGAGGGCCACGAAGATGATGAAGGTTCTGGAGCATCCCTCCTGTGAGGAAAGGCTGAGAGAGCTGGGACTGTTCAGCCTGGGGAAGAGAAGGCTCAGGGGGAACTTGCCAATGCATATAAATACCTGCAGGGAGGGTGCAAAAAAGATGGAGCCCAGCTCTTTTCAGTGGTGCGCAGTGCCAGGGCCAGAGGCAATGGGCAGAAACTGAAACACAGGCAGTGCCATCTGAACATCAAGAAACACTTTTTTTTGTACTGCAAGCGTGACCTGCCACTGGCACAGGTTGTCCATAGGTGCTGTGGACTCTTCATCCTTGGAGATATCAAAAGCTGTCTGGACATGGTCCTGGGCAGCCAGCTCTAGGTGGCCCTGCTTGAGCAGGGAGGTTGGATGAGATGATCTCCAGAGGTCCCTTCCAACCCCAACCATTCTGTGATTCTGTGATAATGCTGAGTTTCTGAAGACAGAGAGAGATTTATCATGATTTTCTGCCTCAGATCAAGCAGCATGATAATTTAGCGTAATAGCCACCAATTTGGGGCATTTTAACTTGTTTTCAGATGATGAAATAGAAGTCAGGCCAAGTAAAAGCAAAATAAGATTTACAGACATTTGACCGATTTGTATTTCCCATAGAAAGGAGAGGAGGATGGACAGAAAGGTACTTTTTCTGTCAAAGGACAAATGTAGGGGTTTTTTAACATTAAAATAAGACAAGGAGATTGGGCAGTGGCCTGAAAATGATGAAAATGAGACAGCCGCCCAGAGGTCAGAAGGCTTCTGGAGGCTCCCACGTAGCAGTTTCAGAAATGGGAGCAGAGGCGTGAAGAAGTTAGGGGGAAA